TTCTGAGATTGGGTATCGGTATCAATCGAGTGTTGAACGTGCAGCCGCGCCCGGACGGATATCGCGCCGGCCATCAACGGCGGCACGTGCCAGCTCACAGACACGGACTCCACGTGCACGCAGAACTGCGCAGTCAGCGACTGGAGCGTCCCTGGCGAGTGCATTCTCAGCGGTGCTTATGCCGGCAAGCAGCGCTCGACGCGCACCGTCACGAAGAAGCAGTGCAACGGCGGCGCTAGCTGTCCCGACAACCTCGAGGGCTTCACCGACTGCGACGTCGACTGCGACCTCAGCGACTGGTCCGAGTGGAGCTCGTGCGACTTGAAGACGCAGCAGCAAACGCGCACGCGCTCAGTGTTTCAGCAAGCGTACAACGGCGGTGCGGCGTGCGATACGCTCGTCGACTACCAGGGCTGCGGCTCGTGCGCCGACATCGTCTCGGACTTTACATACTCGGAGTGTGACGCGACAACGGGTCTTCGCACCGGCACGGCGACGTACTTGTACCCGCCCCAGAACGGCCTCACGTGCAACCTCGTCGTGCAAGACACGTGCTCGGTCGACTGTGTCCTCTCAGAATGGAGCGCAACGTGCAGGGCGAACTCGCGGGCAAGGTCGTCTCGACCCGCTCGATCCTTACGCCGCCGCTCAACGGTGGCCGTCAGTGTGAAGACTTTTCCAAGCACGACACGTGCGTCGTCGACTGCTTGCCGGGTGATACCTGGGGCGCGTGGTCGGACTGCAGCGCGCAGGGCTTCTCGCGCCGCACCATCAACATCGACTACCCAGCGCAGAACGGCGGCCGCAACGACGAGTGCTTGGTCGAAGAGCAAAAGACGTGCTCCGTCGACTGCGCCATCGACCCCGCCTCGGGCGAGATCACGCAGCCGTCGCTCAACGGCCGTGCGACGTGCCAGGAGTTTGCCACCGCCCACGATATCGACGGCAACTACCCCGAGTACTCGACCACGTCCAGCATCTCGTTCATGACCATGCTCGCCAGCAACAAGTCGTACGCCCTCGCGGCCGCAGCCTCGGGCGGCGGTGTTCCTCGTCGGCTTCTTCACGACGTGCCAGCGTCACGGCTACAACTCGATCTCGCGCCAGGCCGTGTAAGCGCCAAATATCCCGTCTCTCGCGCGCCGCTGTTCGGGCGCCATGCTGTCCTTCCTCTTATCGTGAGTGCTACTACGAGTAGCAACTACCATCGTCAATAGAGTCATAGTCGTTCAAATTTTGCTGGTCACTCTGCCGTCGAGCCGTCGTGATGGGTCTCATGTTGATTGATAGCGTCTACTCGACACGCATGTCGAGTTGCATACAACAATGTCGCGTGTATGTGTGACAATGAGAGGTCTAGGGCACGGGTCGATGGGGACAAGTTGGTACACTGCTGGGTCGTGCGCTGGTATCGGTCGGACCGCAATGGCGGTGCATATGTATCCGGAAGATTATCCGGATGAAAGGTGCTCGGCGTCGTTGCTCGGCAGCGTGGTGACGTGGTTTGAAGTTTTTTATGGAGTCGTATGTTTTGTTCGATATCCATAGCCCACGACGCAGGGAGCCCAAAACCCAAAGAACGGGGCTCGTAGCGTGCCTACAGCCTGTGTTGTGCGTCGTTCAAGTTGGCAAAAACTGATACTGCATCTAGTATCAGTGTATCAGTCGACCACGACATTTCAATAGCAACGAGCTCGGGTTGTAGGCACGCTACGAGCCCCGTTCTTTGGGTTTTGGGCTCCCTGCGTCGTGGGCTATGCATATCGAACAAAACATACGACTCCATAAAAAACTTCAAACCACGTCACCACGCTGCCGAGCAACGACGCCGAGCACCTTTCATCCGGATAAGCTTCCGGATACATATGCACCGCCATTGCCGCTTCTATAAAAGCGCTTGACCACTTGAGGTCGACATTGATAACTCAATGTCGACATTCAAGATCAAGCGCAGCGACGGCAACAAGCTTTGCGTCAAGTAAATATTGGAAAATGCTGGGATTATTTTCAACGGCCCACTACAAGTCGCTAGTGAGGTTCACTAGGTGTTATTCCTGTGTGATTTTTCAGTGCATTGATTAGAATAAAATGGCATTTTCGAAACCACGCTATATGCGCGTAGCCACAACGCTGGGGTCATTTCAGTGGCCAAGGACATCTGTCTAGAATTATGAAGGCTGAGAGCGCCATGCATGGGCTCGCGTTGAATATCTAGACGAAATATGCTGGAAAAAAATCGTTGGCGAGTTATATATATGCTTGCAAGTCTTTGATAGCCACGCACGTTGGCATACGACCTCTCTAGAGCTAGAGAAAGCGCCCCTGAGAATATCCCAGCGATTGGTGAAAATTGCAAAAGATTCGATTCGGAATCGACAAGCCTCACGCCTGCCGTAGCGGTGCGTGGCCAAAATGTAGAAAGCAATGAAAAATGCTGGAATTATTTCCAGCACCTCGCAGCTTATTGTCTGACGCTATGGCGTATCGAATGTCGAGGGTTGCAAGCATGCCATATATCGTCGCTACACACGAAAAAGTTTATACGTTTATTGATGGCCTATCAACGACCGACGCAGGCCAATGCACGTTAGTGGGGGGTCGCTGCGATGCACTGCCAC